GTCATTTGAGGAAGACTTTGGTGGTGAAGGAAATGTTGGTTATTCGGAACTGAAGATGCCAAAGGTCCCACACAAAGCTTCTTCGGATACATCCCAGGAACCCGAAGGACCAGGGCAAGCCAACTCCTCGTCCTGCAGAAAGAAAATAAACACAGCATATGCACCAACTAAGCAACTTGATAGGTTATACAGCGAAAAAGTCAGTCTGGCAGAAACCTCTGGCCCAGAAACAATTTATTCTGAAATTGGCCTCAACCAAGATCTGAGCGGTAGGGTGTTCCCCGAGACCCAGAGTGGGCCGTCTCCTCTTCTTCTGCCGAAGAAAGCCACACTAGGCTCTCCGGCATCAACTCCTCCAAGGTTGTCTCCCAAGTTACCTAATAAACCCAATGTGCCCCTGGAACCTCAAGGATCAGAAACTCCATTGGCAACATCCACAACTTCTCTCATGACTGACAAAGACTGTCATAAGCCAAGCCAGGCCAAGAGTTTGTCTGGTTCCCCGAGGGAAACCCTTTATGGGCAAGTCCACAAGTTAAAATCCCATCACTCCATCGTCTCCTCTGACGACAACAAGAGCGATACCTATGAGCAGATTCCTTTTGTGTGGACGAAGATCATCCCTCGTGAGCAGGATCCGGAAAGGATCCCCAAGTCTTTGCCCACCAAACCCAAAGACTTTCATGAACCCATCTCCGCCAAGACCGGGCGGTCCTTGAAGACCCAGGTTTATGCTGAGAACCCTGATGAGAGGATCCCCAGCGATCTACCCAAAGGTTCATCATCCTCCAGGAATGTCCGCCTTGTGGAGAACACCTACGAGCAAATTCACTTTGGCCCTGCAAAGGAGACAGAGGGAAAGGGGACGCAAAAGGTATAGTAGAGTTGGAGGCTTGTGGGAAATTCCTTAAGCAACTGTAGAGATGCCTTATGGAGAAAGTAGGGTAAACCTCCTTCAATGAGCCAACGCTGTTCATCTCCTCATCGCCGCCTCCTTCCCTCCGTTGGGAAATTGACCGTTATAATGATTGTAAAGGACTTGGGTTGGTAGGAAGTAGGATACTGAATCAAAGAGATTCGGTTTGATCCAGTAGGGTTCTTTATTCAATAGGAGCCAAACTAATGGGCAAAGTATTCTATTGCAACATTGAATGCAACAGCAATTGAGGGGCATGGATACCTACAGGCCCATTGAGTTGATCCCTGTGGTTCTTCCTTGGCCATTAGGAAAACTGTTCATCTCCTCGCCACCGCCTCCTTCCCTCCCTCTCACTTACAGTACGTATCTAGTGTACTGCTTCCATGGTGACAGTGTTAGTGAAGTGGATGAAATTAAGTCTCCCTTCCTTACCCTGACTCCCCTCTCAGTAATGAGCACTCTGCATTGTTGGAAGTGTAGGCGCCAGGAACCCAAGTCAATGTGGCTACAGGTGGCAGTCACCCTGAAGGCGCTCTGTTTCCCAGTCCTTCTGGTGTTTAGTGGTCAAACTACACATTACAGGTAGCCCAGCATAGTAAATGGGGATTCCTTAAGTGCTAAAGAGTGCCTGGTTTTCACAGAAGGAAGTATGCCTTCGGCAGTTTGCGAATGAGCTTGCTTTTGCTGTGTGGCGATTGGCCATCGGGAGACAAACAGAGGCTTTGTTGGCGAGCGTGATTGGCCTGGCACAAAGGGCTTTTTCCAGCATGACATATCCACAATGTGGAAAGATTTCAGCTTCTAGTGTAATGTCTAGTTTGGCCCTTGGTCACAGCACGACAACATGGCCGTGAGCAGAGATCAGAGAGGGAGGCTGCACCGCTCCATTTTGCTAATGCTAGCATGGCCATGGAAAGGAGTGGATGAGTGAGGCAGACTGCCTTGGGGTTGGAGAACTTCATCTTGTCCTTTATTCAGATTATAGTCCAATTTAGATTTCGGCTGTCCTGTTATTTTACAAATTAGCTTGCTTTTTTTTGCTTCTGACAGAGCTTCCTTTCCCTCTCAGGCAGGAAAGATGTCCTCAAATCCCAAGCACAACATGACTTGAGTTCTAATTACAAGTCATCTGTAATGTATAGGTTGACCCTTAGAGAAGGCCCTTCATGAGCGTAACACTTGCCCGCTCCCTGAGCATTTAAGGCAAGCATTATAAACCACATCTCTGAGCCAGGAATGCTAAAATTTCAGGGGTATCCACTGTTACTGTTAACAGCTCTGAGTCAGGGTTCAGTTACTATTCTATTGCTTTGAAATGTCCCCACATTACAGTATTTGGATTTACATGATTAGTGTTATTATATAATTAGAGCCATCAGTTCCACACCCCCAGTGACTTTCCATGGTTGAGTGGGGATTCGAACGCAGGCCTCTTGAGTCATAGTCCATCACTCTATCCACTACACCTTACTGGGTACCGCATACAGAGAATTGATTCCATATTGTTATAATTAATATTCTTAAAGTGATTCTATCAACATGATTAAAATTATTGGTGCGCTTCTAAAATTAATGCAGAATTAGTATTATTATTTGTAATGCAGAATTGTTGTGAGTTTTTCTGGGGCTCTTTCTCCTTCTGGTTTTTTTTTTCCCCTGAAATAAATCTCCCTGTGTTTCCTTTTCCTGGCAGAGCGAAAAAACCAGAAGGTTTCTTTTTGCAGACCGGAAGATTAAATTCTGAGCGCTGTGTTTCAGAGGCTGTTTGCAGCCCTTCCACACACACACACACACACCCCAGGCTGAAGATTCCCTTTCTGAGCGCTGTGTTTCAGAGGCTGTTTGGAGCCCTTCCACACACACTCACACCCCCCAGGCTGAAGATCCCCGGATGAGAACTAGCGACCGCTTCACATCAAAAAGAATGTCATTTCTCAGCGTTAAAGGATTCAGAAGTTCATCTTTTCATATAACGTTGTTCCATGTTTAACAGCACAGATTCGGGACCTGTACATAGTCCTTTACAACAGTGGCCTCCAACCTTGGGCCTCCAGATGTTCTTGGACTTCAGCTCCCAGAAATCCTGGCTAGCAGAGGGGGTGGTGGAGGCTTCTGGGAGTTGAGTCCAAGAACATCTGGAGGCCCAAGGTTGGGGACCACTGCTTTACAACCAGTTATGCTAGCTAGGGCTTCTGGGAATTATAAGCCAATGGAACTCTCGACTTCCTGCTTTACAGGCTCCTGTGTTGGAGTTTTGTTCCATTTGGGTGGTTCTAGATTTTCTTCCGTGGCAGTCAACCGTTTCTGAATTTAATGACTATAACTGCAGTTCTACAAGTAGAACTCAAACTTTTAACTTCATGTATTTTCCTGTGATGAAAGTCTGAAAGAGCTGGACGTGTTTAGCCTGGAGAAAAAAAAGGCTGAGGAGAGATAAGATAGCACTCTTCAAATACTTGTAGGTAGTCCTACAGAGGAGGGGCAGGATCGGTGGTGTTTAGCCTGGAGAAAAAAAAGGCTGAGGAGAGATAAGATAGCACTCTTCAAATACTTGTAAGGTAGTCCTACAGAGGAGGAGCAGGATCGGTGCCCGATCATCCCAGAGGGCAGGACACATAAGAATGGGCTCAAATTAAAGGAAGCCAGATTTCAGTCGAATATCGGGAAAAACTTCCTAACTGTTAGAGCAGTACGACAGGGGAACCCATAACCTCGGGAGGTGGTGAGCATTCCAACGCTGGAGGCATTCCAGAGAAAATGGAGCACCCTTCTGTCAGATTTTTTATTTGGATTTCTGCAAATCCAAATGAGCAGGGGGATTGGGTTCGATGACCTCATAAGCCCCCTCCGACTCAATTATTCTATGATCCTAAATAAATAAATTGCACATTTTCCACCCAGGAAATAGGGTACATTTTCCAGTAAAATGCCCTCTGCATGCTGATTTGAGGGATCACTATCTCAACCATTAGGATCAGGAACATATGTGTAAAGTTTTATTTTTTGCTAGCTGCCACAGACTATTATATATTCTATATGATTGCCAAATTCAATAAACAGGTTATGGAAAGACAGAATATATTGCCTTTTTCACAGTCTCTGTGTGCTAATCTTGATGTTGGCTATGGATCAGTCATTATGTAAGTCAATATTGCTGATTTAAGATAATCTGTAAACAATATATTGCCTTTTTCACAGTCTCTGTGTTCTAATCTTGATGCTTGATCCTTATGTGAGCATTATTATTTTATTCTCTTACGTATATGTTAGATGTTAACCTTTTAAGAGTGGTTGTAGTGTCTGTTTATGTCTGACTGGCTATGGATCAGTCATTAAGTAAGCAAATATTGCTGATTTAAGATAATCTGTAAAAAACTATTTAAGTGCAGGTGGTTAGTGAGGCGTGAGGTATAACTACATAACATTCTGAGACTGTAAATAATTATTTTAAAAAAATCTTTTTTAAAAGGAATAGGAAGAAAATCATCAAATTGGTATGGAGGAATGGTACAAAGACATGTGGAATATGGCTATTAACCATAATGTGTTGTGTGAAATAAAGATTAGAAAAGAAATATTGAATATAAATGATATGGAACCTATTTTTAATACATGTATTCGAGAAAGGTGAAGGTTATACCCCTGGAAAGGAATCAATATATTTCTGGAGAGAAACAGAGCATCTATTAAATATAAAGGGGAAAAAATAGTAATTTAGTCACGAGGGTGGAAGGGAGCACAGGAAAACATACGTCTTGTGCATTTAGAAAAGAAATATTGAATATAAATGATATGGAACCTATTTTTAATACATGTATTCGAGAAAGGTGAAGGTTATACCCCTGGAAAGGAATCAATATATTTCTGGAGAGAAACAGAGCATCTATTAAATATAAAGGGGAAAAAATAGTAATTTAGTCACGAGGGTGGAAGGGAGCACAGGAAAACATACGTCTTGTGCATGTCATGTTTTGATGTAAATTGTTTTCTTTTGGGGTTTTCTCTCATTTGAATCTTGTATGTGTGTTATCTTTTTAGTTCTTAGATGATTGTGTGTTCTTACTTATAAAAGTGATTTTAAAAATTAAAGAAATTGTTCCCTTGCCTGCTTGTACATTGGTGACAACTGTAGAGTTTGCTATCAATAAACCGTAAGCTTCTATGCTATCACAACGGGTCTTATGTCTTTTTGATGCTGAGCTATGAATCATGCTTCTCAAACACCTATATAGGCTCTTTTAAAACAGCTTTTTTTAAAAAAAAATGCCAGAGATTGACTATCCGAGCAGTCTTGGAGGTTATTAAGGGGTCCTCGGCAGCGCCAGGATAAATCAGAAGATGTCAGCCAGAGGTTTGTCCTTCATGCCTTTCTGCCCTCTCCGGCTGCGCTCAGGACCTCCCCTCCTCCCAGGTGACATCTACGGGAGACGAATTAGAGGCAGGGAAAAGCACCCATTCAGGAAACCGTGCTTATGTTTTTCTTAATGACTTGATTGATTTCTCTACCTGTGCCTTGGGCCTCTGTGCGTGTGTGTGCATGTGTGCAGAGAGAACTCCGTAGAGGCAGGGAAAGCAGCCATTCAGGAAAAGGTGCTTATGTTTTTCTTAATGACTTGATTCATTTCTCTACCTGTGCCTTGGGCCTCTGTGCGTGTGCGTGTGTGCAGAGAGAACTCCATTCCTTGCTTCAGGGCTGGGGTTCTGGAGCCCAGTTTGAGGGGGGCTCCAGAACCCACAGCATCCCCAGGCAAGCACGGCTGCTGAATGAGCTGTGTGAACTGCGATTAAAAAGGTAACTTTTCAGAGCTTGGCATGTTTCCCACCAGGAGGGTCCCTGGGACCATCCTGGCTTCCAAATAATCGTGTTAAGGGTTGGGCCACAGGTGGGCATCAGGTGCTCCCGAGAAAGAAAGCCTAGCAATGGTGTGGCGGAGGGCAGGGGCTAATTGGCCCCCATCAGTGGGATTCGCGCTGGGACAAGGGTGTCATCTCCCACCTGGATTTCCTGACCTCTCTGAGCTTAACTGCATTCCCCACAGGAGCTGGAAGAAACCTGGATTTTTCAGTGACAGCGTTTCATTTGGGAATAGCTTCGTCTCAACTGGGAAATTAAGAGCCATTAGCTTTGCAAAAGCCTCGCTTCTGGCCGTTGAGACATGCCACTCCCAATTTGGCGAGGCTGCTGGGTCTGCTCCGGGTTTTCATCTGTACTTTATGGTGCTAAACCCTAACCTCAAAATGGGTTCAACGCCTTAGAAATCCTATTTCCTCCAAACAAGTTTACCAAGTTCAAGTTAACCGTTCAAGTTCGGACTAAAACCTGCCGCAGATTCACAGTTCCCATGGTGTTGGCCTCCCCAGCCNGGAGCTTCTGTCATGCTTTTCACAATGACGGTTGCATAGCTGGCTCTCTTATAGAAGCAAGGAAGTATCCCTGTTCTTGGTGATGTACTTCTCGAATTTTCTTCATGGGTATGTTTTCACAAGTTGGTCTTTTGGTGGTGGCGGTGGTTTTTATTCTTCTTCTGCTTTTCTGTGTTTTTTTCCCCAGCCTATCAGAATAATGTTTTCCCAGGAATATATCCCCCATGTGGGTTTTGTTCATTTGCTTGTGTGTTTTTGCTTTGTTTTCTTTTTTTGCAATCTGTTAGGAGAATTCCACTTTGAAATGTTGTTGTTGATGATGATGATGATGATGATGACCCTCCTCAGGTGCTGAAAAAGACGATTTGAAAAAGTTTGTTTAGAGAAGAGATGAATGGCTAATGCAAAGATTCCCTCTTCAGGGAAAATGTTTCAAGTTTGATGAGGATTACGCACTTCCGTACAACACCGGCTGCTTCAGCGCTTAAGCCAGCCTAATGGCACAATTGGTGTACGTGTCGTCTTTTACACCGTGATTTGAGCTATCCGCCAGTGTCTGCTTCCTGGATCAGCTTCAGTGGCTCTGCACAGTCACAGAAAAGCCTGCTTTTAAGGCCTGTGTTTTGTCATTTCGATCGATCTATGTCTGAAAAAGTCAGCATAATATTTTTTTCCCCACTGCTTTTGTTTTTGTTGTTGTTGTTGTTTTGTTTTGTTTTCTGGTGTGTTTTTTTTGCTTGGAGGGGCAAGGTTATCAAATCTTTACAAATACAAAAATTACAAAGTGAGAGGCTGAATAACGTCCTGCCTAACTTTGCGTTGATCTTGTTGAGATAATAATAATGTATTGTGCATGATGTTGCTGAACAACGGTCCTGATTTTTTAAAAAAACAAACAACTATGCAAGTGATGGAGGTGCTTCCAAGATTTTGCAAACCGGCTGTACTCTTTCTGCACTGGGACTTCGGTGGTCCGAGACTGTTGCAGTCCTTTTGTGGCAGAATTCAGAGGAGGATGACAAACGCCTGAGACTCTGAGAGGCAGACAGGGGGTATTTCCAGCAACCGGTGGTCTTCAGATTCGTATATGGAAAGTGCTATGGAGACATTTAAAAGACAAAAGACATGAGATAACACAAAGACAGAAACCTAGCTTTACTAAATCCAAGCTACTGTCCATCTAAGTCCAACATTATGGACGGTGCTGGTGCTTCATCAACACTCTCACAACACTTTTGTTGCATGTGTTGGAGGTGGTGGACTGATGCGCTTCAGGGTTAAGCGCCAGCTGGAGCATCCAGGAAGACAAGGTGGGCATGTTGGTGGAACTGGACCTTCGTTTAGAGCAGTGGTTCCCAACCATGAATAGCCCATGTGTTCTTAGACTGCAACTCCCAGAAGCCTTCATCACCAGTGGCACTGGCTGGGGTTTCTGGGAGTTGCAGTCCAAGAACACCTGGATCACCCAAGGATGGGACCCACTGATTCAGACAACCTCATGAACTGCCCTGGATGGTCACCCTATCATAAGCAAGTTCAGTTTGCTTTGGTTTTGATCACTCAGAGAAGCCAAAGGTTCACATAGAAAAAAAACGTGCACACACATGCATGAAGTTCAGCGTCAACCAACCACCAGATGTCTGGGGCATCACTTACGCCCATCTTTTCATTGTGGAGATGGGCACTCACTCTCATGACCCTCAACCCTCAATTTTCTTTTTCCAAAAACGGTCATTTCTTTTAAACTGAAAAAGTTCCCATTCCCTCTAATGGCCTGCAATATTCTATATGTTATAATTTCTGCAGAAAATAAGCAGACCCAACCAGATCGCACATTAAAAAGAAGCATCCCCTATTAACATAGCATCAGCAGTGTGCTCACTTGCTCGAGACCGTGGTCTTTAATGTTGATCTTCGCTCGTGGAGCTGTCCAAATTCTGAATCATTTTGAAAAGAGGTTTCAGCACCATGAACAGCTCCTTTAAATTCAGGCTAAGCTCTAGTGCAGTGGTTCCCAACCTTGGGTCCCCAGATGTTCTTGGACTGCAACTCCCAGAAGCCTTCACCACTAGCTCTGCTGGCCAGGATTTCTGGTAGCTGTAGTCCGAGATCATCTGGGGACACAAGGTTGAGAACCACAGCTCTAACCTGTACTGGAAAGTCCTTGCGGTGTCCAGCACATGTAACGCGTCTTCTTTTTCTTCTCAGTAAGCTGCAACTTGAGATCGAGAGATACATCTGATAAGGACACCAAAGGCATAGGCCACTTAACAAAAATCAAAGCAGCAAATGCTGCCCATGAGTAATCATATACATATTAGTCTAATGAGAAGGCCATTGAACATTTTCAGGGGAAAAGAAGCCCATGGCTGGCAGATAATGTTTTAGGTGGTCTGTATCAGTCAACGATCTGGTCATTGCATCCATTAAGAATAGTTTTCAAGGGCAGCCCCTCACATACACTACATGGCAGTAGTCAAGCCGATACTATTGCCATGGCAGCGATAATTATGCTGAAGATGTTATGCCTATATTTTTTAAGGTCAGTGGTTGTACTGTTTGTACAGATCTGTGGGGCTTTTAGAAAAAAGAAAAAAGTTTCAGCCTCCACAATGATTTATAAAACAATTTCCTGCCGAAAACGTATCCAGTCTTGTAGAACAGAACACTTAGCCTCTGCCCACTCGGAGTGCTAATGGCTCCATTAAAATACAAGCAGACTCAAAATGATCACATTTTTTACAGAAGAAGAAGTGAAATAATCCCACAGGGATCACATTTTCTGAACCAGCAAACTGCCTTAGTTCTTTTCAAATTATTTCGACTTCTGGGATCCTGGCCAGCAGAGACAATATTTTCTACTCCGGTCATCTGTTAGAGCAGATATTTCTCTAAAAGCAATCAAGAAAATTAGAAAGTGATCTGGGTTGCGCTATGTTTGATAGTTCTTGCTAAAAGGTGAACCCAAAACACAACCATCCCATCACAGCATGAATGCAGCGGTCAAAGCACTGCTTGAGACGAGCAACGCTGTGTAGTGGTTAGAGTGATAAGCCAGGTGTAGGAAAATACAGGTCCTTCCTCAACCTGATTCTTTGCACCGAAAATAAAGCACAAAGGTTCTTGTTTGGGAGGTAAATATTGAGGACTGGACAAATATCTCTTTTTGAATCAGCCCAATGTCACCAAAGTGTGCAAGCTTTCAAGCTCTCCAGAACGCTTCAGCAGTTCAGGTAGCAAAGAAACAGAAATGCAATCATGGACACAACTTTGGGTTTAATTGTCAGATTTTCTGTTTCCTCTCCCTTCCCCGAGATCCCATGCTCGATCATAGCGTCCCCATAAGCTGGAGGCACAGAACAAACAGCAACAAAAGTTGGGTTAGGTCTAACCACCGGATTTTGCTTCGAAAACATTCTTCGGTCAATGCAAAGTCTTTTACAATGGAGCAGCAGTTTGGGTTAGAGGGATTCCAGCCTCCCCACCTTTTCACCTCTTTATGAGGAGTTTGAATGGGAGGGGCAGACAGTAATATCTGTAAAAAGGTTGTGAAAGGTGAGGCCAGCTGCAAAAAGGGGACCTGAACAACTGGGTACGGACAGGAAATCATCCTCCGATCAGTTCCCCAGGCAGTAGAAACAGAGGCAGCTGAAATACACTGTGATGGAGCTGTCTGATGTTACAAGCAGTAATGAAAGTAACCATATACAGAGGCCGTGGGACAGTAATTCAGAGATAGCAGGTCACGCTGGCGCCAGCTCTTCCTCTTTTTATGGAGTAATTGAAAACCCTGCAAGACGGCTCTGCCTCTCAGAGGTTGCAAGCGTGGACCAAATTCAAAAATAAATATTAAAAAATTGGCGAAGGCTGGTTTTTGGAGATGCAGAACACCACTTAATGTTTCTTGGCTGCAATAACCTGGGATCCGGTCACTTCTGAGTGGGGCTTTTTGACCCAGATCACTGTCCAGGGTACTGATCACTGGCCTCTTTGGTTCCGTCTTCCCAGAAAGTTTACTTTTCATGAGCAGCTGAAGACCTAGATATATGTGTGTCTAGATTGTGTCTTTGCAGCCAGAAGCAGGGAGATTCAAAAGACTGAAGGGTGCTCACTGCAAAATGTTCTTCTTTCACTGAATCAAAGAATAATGAAGTTGGAAGGGGCCTATAAGGCTCGAAAGCATGCAAATGCGAGTAGATCAATAGGGACCACCTCGGTGGGAAGGTAACAGCCTTCTGTGTCTAAGTCGCACTGGCCATGTGACCACGGAAGATTGTCTTCAGACAAAACGCTGGCTCTATGGCTTGGAAACGGGGATGAGCACCGCCCCCTAGAGTTGAACACGAATGGGCAAAAATTGTCAAGGGGAACCTTTACCTATAAGGCTATCGAGTCCAACCCCTTGCTCAAGGCAGGAATCCGAATCGAAGCAGATCTAAGAGATGGTTCTCTTGAATGCCTCCATCATCGGAGCATTCACCACCTCCCACAATCATTGGTTCCACTGTCATACTGCTCTAACAGTTAGGAAGTTTTTCCTTATATTCACCCTGCATCTGGCTTCCTGCAACTTGAGCCCATTTTTATATATCTTGCACTCTGGGATGACTGAGAACAGATCTTGCCCTTCCTCTGTAAGGACTACCTTTCAAGCATTTTAAAAGGTGCTGTCCTATCTCCACTCAATGTTCTTTTCTCAAAGCTAAAGATGTCCAGTTCTTTCAGTGCTTCCTCATAAGGCTTGGTTTCCAGACCCGTGATCATCCTTGTTGTGCCCCCCCCCTCCCTAGCTCTGCAGACAATCCCATAGCACCTCATCCATCATGCAAAGAGGATTCGTTTATTAACTTTGGAGCCATGCAAATGTTAATACCTGAGAAAATCTGGTGCTTTTGAGATCATGTTTTCGAAATCTGAAAACCCTAGTTTCCCGTCGCCATCCATGTCTGCCTCTTCAATGACTTTTTCACACACCAAGCTGACTTCTTCCTCCGTCAGTTCCTCTTTTGTCAACTTGTTGAGGGTTTGTTCCAGGTCAGATTTACAGATAAAGTTGTCTGTGTTAAAATCTAAATGTGGAAAGAGCAGGGCGTAGGAGGGGAGAAAAAGATCCTCAGTAACACATCTCTTCTACAATACCTTAAAGTACTGAGATAAAATATATATACATGTTGGATACCCATACCAATAGATTAAATACAAGCCAAGGTTTCTTAAGCCATTGCCATTGCCAACTATTTTTCCACAAAGCAAGCACTCATCGGGTCAGATTTCTAGTGTGGTTACTATTCTGCCCTGGTTGAAGTTTACGAAAAACAGCCGTGAAAATGGCATTGACGTCCACTCCCAACAGGGAGGGTTCTGCCGATGAAAACCGCCAATGCATTATGAAGGGGGTTGATTAAAAGGCCATTGTGAATGTCTGTTTTATTGTCCTCAGCCCAATAAGCAGGATTAGCATCAGCTCAATTTAATTAGAAAGCTGCACGATGACATTTAGCAAGTCGGGTAATGGGCAGTAAAACAGTCAGGGTGGATTTATTTGCAAACGCTCAGGCTTGTGGTCATATTGCCACGAAGAAAATACATCTGAGGTTTAAAGCAAAAAAAATGGATTGGTGGATCTTGGTACACTCCAACTGAAAACAGTTTGGCAAAATCTGAGAGCAGCTGTGATACTCAATCAGTTATATGTTTGGTGATGCTTTTTCTGATCCCCTTTTTAAGCATGCGCTGAAGGTTTTCAAGGAGTAATTCAGGTTGTGATCGGACAGTGAGAGAGGACCCTGAATGACTGTACTGGAAAGGGTCACTTTGGGAGTGACCTCCTCTAAAGTCCCCCGATGTCCTTCAACTACAACTCCCAGAAGCCTTCGTTGCTAGCTGTGCTGATCAGGATTTCCGGGCGTTGTAGTCCAAGAACATCTGGGTTACCCAAGGTTGAGAACTGCTGGAATTCACCCCTGAGACAAGAGAAGGCTGAAGTCACAGTTCAGTTCTTTTAAGATGGTTCCTATAGAAGCCATTCTTTTTATACTATGGAGCGGAAGTAAGATTTGCACATGGAAAACCATAGAGGTTTTCATTGGGCTGGAATTTGGCCCAGGACTTTACCCGCTGTCCCTTAAGGCAGTGGTCCCCAACCTTGGGCCTCCAGATGTTATTGGACTTCAACTCCCAGAAATCCTGGCCAGCAGAGGTGGTGTTGAAGGCTTCTGGGAGTTGCAGTCCAAGAACATCTGGAGGCCCAAGGCAGAAGACCACTGCCTTAAGAAATTCCCTTTTCCAATGTTGGGTCATCTGTAATGTGTAGTTTGACCACTAGACATCAGACGTACTGGGAAATTGTGTTTCCTCGGTGTTACTGACATCTGTAGATGTGCACGCCGGGATTTCTGGGAGTTGTAGTCCAAGAACATCTGGGGATCCAAGGTTGGGAACCAGTCATCTAAAACATCTGGACTGCCTAGGCTCAAAGAGTTTACCCTTTGGAAGGCACCCCAAGTATTGCTCACAGATCCAATCAGTGGAATTTATGTAAGTGTTAATCAGAAATCAATGCAGTGGGTCTCTTCCATTGTGGTCCTACAAACCATGCTTGGGTTGCAAAACAATTCATTGTTCTCCAGCCCTTACCATAGACCTTAAAGGCATAGATTGCTTTGAGCTCTCGGGGAGCTGTTTCGCTGAGTACCGAGAACATGTCCACAAAGTCATTGAAGCTGAGGCTTCCCTCAGCATCCTCAGAAAAGGCGTGGACAATCCTCTCCCGGAAAGGGTTTTCCTGTAGGGAGAGAACATGCATGACCTCCTTAAGGGACAAGTGACCGTAGCTGCAAAAGAAATACTACTTTACTTAAAGGTAAGACAGTTGGTTGGTTTGGGACAAACGTCTAAACCACAGACCAAACCACAACAATCTGCACAAATTTTTCAGGTGACCTGGGGCAGAGCGAGGTGCTCAGGAGTGGTCAAATGACAAAGCAGCCCCCACCATAGCTCCCTTGTGGGAGGTCTGGCATTCGGGAGCTTCAAAGCATTAAAAATTTATCATGGGATCCAAAGTGGGGAAAGGGGAATTGAAAGCATCTGTGCCTCATAGGGAAGATGCTGAGCCAGCACCAAAAAAAGAAGGGGACCAATTGCATCACAATGAAGCCCAAATCCTCTCCTGCATACTTCAGGTGCCGAGGTGCTGAAGGGAGGGGGGGAACTCTCAGTGGGGCTACCAAGCTATGGCAGCCATTCTCCAATTTTATTTATCTTTTTGGCCGCAGTGCAAAAAAAAAAAACAAACCTTCTGCTGGAGTACCACATTGACTTGACTCCGTGTTCTCAAATTTTCCTTTTTTNAAAAAAAAAAAAAAAACCTTCTCCTGGAGTACCACATTGACTTGGCTCCGTGTTCTCAAATTTTCCTTTTTCCCCCCCTTCTTTGTTTTTAAAAACACATAGTTACTGACTGTTATTGACACAGAGCACATTAAGAGATATTTTAAATAAAAGAGTGAGCCAGTCAAACAAGAACCTCTAACACAGGGACACCCCAAAAGTCTTAGGGTTCTTCTGTTCCTTTCGGTCCCCGTGCAGACACTCCTCCTGGTCATCCTCAACAGACATACGGCTAAGGGACCAGGCTAAAGGACCAGAGCTTGCAAATGTTACTTTTCCAGAATTATCCTCCCACCAGCCTGGAAACCGACCACAGCAGACGGAAGATCCTGGGAATTGTAGTTTTAAACAGCAGCTCTTGGGAACCACAATGGTATTTAGGCTTTCTCTGGGTGAGGAACACTGCGAAGGTTTTGCTTCCTTCTAGCCGTTCATGTCAAGGGGGGGGAACGGGCCCTCTGATGAGTTCTCATTTGTATAAAGAGAACAACGTCCACACAACGGACCGACGGGGGCTCCGGCCGTCTCTCCGCTTTCCACATTTCTGCACCATTACCAATTGGTTTCCCTTACAGGAGAGTACATTACCACTAGATCCAGTTACCGTGAGGACAGTTTGCTAAGTGATGAACTGAGAACAGTCAGAATCTGGATTGTGCACTGGTCCTGGGTGAGCTTTTGGTGGGGCAGGTGCATAC